CAGTGACAAAATATAACCATGAAGGTGGTAAAGAGCAAGAAGAAGCAAGAAGGCCCAACTACCAACATTATCACAGATCACTAATTAACATGTTCTAGGTTTGTTTAATATGTACGAAATGTTTTTTAAAATGTATGCTAAAGCCTGTAATAACAACAAAAAAACCACATTATAAAACCATTAATCACTTATAAGTGATTAAAACATGTTTCTCATCATCACGCATCAGTTGTAATGTCATGAGAAATTAATGAATTGTTCTCACCCTCTTAGACCAGCATTTAAAGAGGGAAGCTGTCTTTGCTGCCTGAAACACAGAATCTACTCTATAATAATCAAGTAAATGAAGTGGAAGCAGTCCTCAGTATGAAACAGACTACAGAAAATAACATTTTGTGTTTGCAGGTACAGTATAGCCCACTGGTAGCCACAATACTTCTGCCCTTTTATTGCCATTCACTTCAAAGGTGTAATTAGTGTGACAGCTGGTTCCAGGAAGTTACAAAAACATAAGAAGCTTTTGTTTACTTTCCAGCTGTCTGAACAGCACTGCACTGGAAGTGTTCTCCTAGATGTTGTTGCCTGCAGTTTAGCTTCTGCTTTCTGGGAGTCCACATTAAGGAGGATCTGACCTGGGGTGTGAATACCTCTAAACTGCTTAAAAAGGCCCAGCAGAGACTGTACTTCCTATGGGTGCTCAGGAAGAACAACATCTCCCAGAGACTGCTGGTGTCCTTCTGTCGGTGCTCCATTGAGAGCATCCTTACATACTGTATATGTGTATGGTATAGCAGCAGCACAGTGGCTCAGAGGAAAAAGCTCCAGAGGGTCATTAATACAGCCCAGGAGATCGTCAGCTGCCCTCTCCTCACTCTAGAAGAACTACACAGTTCCCACTGCCTCAAAAAAGCCCAGAACATCATTAAGGACACTTCACACCCAGGACATTCACTCTTTGAACTGCTGCTGTCAGGTAGACCGTTCAGAGCAATCTAATCAAGGACGGGGGGGGGGTTATATGGTCTTACTTCATTTGTTATGTTTTTCCTATTATCCGGACGTCACACTAAAATTTCGTTGTACGTGTTACAATGACAATAAAGGCTTAACTTAATTTATATTGTCTTTGTTTATAGACAGCCATGGGGAAGATCAATGACGTTATTTTTAGTGAGCTGTTCACTATCACGTACAAGCCGCTGCAGAGCTGACATTCATCGTAAACATCATGCTTTAACCACTATAGAATAATACATTATAAGGTGAAGTCACTTTTGTGTTTGAGTCACTAAACCTCATGTCCAAGTTAAATCTCAAGTCCCAGTCACCAAAAGGTAGTCTGAATCAAGTCGAGTCCCCGTTACAAAAGGATGGGTCTCACAAGATCTACATTCAACAACATGTGTGATATAATAGCCAAACAAATGCACTTATATGTGCACACACAACACACACACTACTCAGAAGTGAACCTTGTGATTTTTTTTTTTTTTTATAGGTGGAGTTTACACTTTGATTGAAGCGCACTGGATACAGAATGGTGCAGGCAAATGAGTTTTAATATGAAAACAATCAATTACAAAAAATAAATATACATAAAAAGTCAGTCTTTGTCTCCAGTTTCCGAATCTGAATGTAGTCAGTGATCGCGTCCAAGCCCAAGTCAACAGTGCTCAAGTCCACATGGAGTCATGAGTCCTGAAAATCAGGATTCGAGTCTGACTTGAGTGCTACACCATCGGGTGAAGTAGCATATAACAGATTCAGATCTCTTTGTTAACAGGGAGTATAGATGTTAACTATCCTACTTCTGCTGTTCCAATAGGTCACAAACATAAATATGAAAGTTCTCCTGCTGGCTCAGCAGGCACTTGTGTTGGTTGTGCTATCGATTAGCTTACCAGAGCCAGTGGTGCAGTCCATTTCTCTGGCCTGACATTTGAAGCTAGTTATATGCAGCATTTTATCAACCTGTTGTGAAAAATGTGTCCCTATGTCTGTATAGTCATGACAGCTACTTCCAGGATGTATCTTCCTAGATACTTCCTGGCATACTGAGCTGTGTTGGACAATGAAGTCACTGATCTGATCTGGTCATTTACTGATAGCTTCAACAAAACTAGATGTACATCAAATGTGACCAACTTGTCCAATCGATACCTCTCCAAAAGTTACATTTGTCAAATGATGATGGTGTTGTCACTGGTAAGGTGCATAGTCAGTAGGTGAATTGTAGACCTGGAAAAACAGCAAACTGGGAAGGGAGAGAAGCTGTGTAATTACTGTCTGTAGGCATTATACTGCACAGATGCCATCTCCATCATCACTAAAATGTAATAGTGACAAAAACCTCAGGGCAGACAGGACCTGGGTAAGATGACATTAGTTCATAGAGTGTACCTCCTCAGTGTCTGAGAAACTTGGCTGCATAAGTTCAGCAAAGTATACAGTGAAAAACAAAATCGTCAGAGGAGCCACTGTGAAATTTTAGGTATTGGTGTGTGTGCGTGTGTGTGTGCTCTCTGAAGACAGTCTGAAAATGCACACCCTGTGCAATTCAGCAGCTGCCAAATCCCCCATCAAAGGAAGATCAGCCATGTTATGCACACCACAATCCATTTCTTAATTATGGTTATTATATGAATGAGCAGTAGTTCCAAATTGTTTACATCCATGACTGTGTCCATGGTAACATTAGCATTGATTGTCACCAGCCTGTTTGAATGAGTGCATTCATGGTTTTAATATAGTTTATTACGAATACTATATGCACTGATGTAAATACAGTATGTGCTGTCTGTCAGCTAAACTATAACATCCGTGTTTACAGGTTATGATGACAATTATATTAGTCACATTATTATTTAGCATGTTTTCTTGATTTATGGCAGCCTTGACAGTAGTTGGTAGTAATTATCAACTGCTGCTGAGATGTGGAGGCAGTCAGAGCAGATCAGTCCTAGACTCTGAACATAACTGAGACCTAAATGACTCACTGTGGGACTCAAGACACCAGATACGCTCAGCAAGGATGTGCAAGGCTCTGGCACACCCGAGTGGTGAGAAAGTGTGAGTGCAAACACAGGTGGACCTGCAGGATTTGTTGGTTGTGTAATGAGTGAAAAACTGCTCATGTACAGTATATCTTGTTGCACTGTATTTCTGGCATACAGACTCACTTGTGCAGAAATATACACTCGCTGGCCACTTTATTAGGTACACCTGTACAATTATATGCACTTCAATGCAACACCTCTGCCTTAACATTTGTGTTTATGAAACTCAGAATTTTTCAATTTTTGATCAAATTCTCATAAATGTATAAATTCATTTATATGTTTATTATTGTGGTCATAGTTAAAGGTGGCGTTGTACTGGACTACATTACATTCAGAGGTGTCTATATTTTTGTCCTCCTCAGCTACAGACCTGAAATGGTCAGAATATTAGGAACACCTCTGACTGTAATGTAGTCCAATACAACACCGTCCTTTAACTATGATTATTTGTCATTGTTTTTCATTTTACATTACATTTACATTAATAGTGACAAGCATCACATTTTGACTCTGGCACGGGTCACACAAGGGATGACCAATCAGATTTGGGGGGGGCAGTGCCACTTCTGGCCTAAATACAGAAAGAGACTACTAATGTATACTTTCCTGGGTGGACACACTGCAGAGATACCCAAAACTGTGAACACATGCACAGGCACATCCAACTGGATCGTGTGCTTGAGTAGCAGAAAGCCCTGATGCCATTCATTAATCACTGGGTTGGGGTTTTGATGCCGCAGCAGGAA